AGGCGAAGCCCCCGGACTACTGGAGTAACTGGCCCCGCGGCTAAAGTAGCGGCAGACGAGCAACAAATCCACGGGCGGCTGGCACAGCTGGCTACGACTGGGCTACCCGGCGAAGCCCCCGGAATACAGGTGCTGCTGACGACACGACGGCAACCTCCATGCAGCTTCCCTAACTATCCAACTCCCCCAACACACACCCGCTGCTACACCCCTAGCTCCACTCCCACGCACCCCCCTTAAACCCTAAACCCCAGTCTCCCACACATCCACCCCCCTCAGCGACAGCTGCAGCAGTGGGAGACGAAGGAGGAGGAGGAGCAAAGGGAGGAATGAAGAAGTGCCACCCCCATACTCGCCACCCCCTACTTGCCACTCCCCAAACCCTAACACAAGCAGGGCGGGATGGCAGGTAGGGAGGTTACGGGGGAGGGGGGGGATCCGACGCGCGGCCCCCCAGGGCGCCAAGACAGGCAGCAGAAGGGGCGGCGCTCGCCCCCCTCCCCCACCCCGAGGGGAGCCGCGACGGGCGACGGGAAAAGGGGCCGCAGGCGGGGCCGGGGCCGGGACGGACGGCGCACGGGCGGCGTGGGGCCGGGACAGCGGCATGGGGCCGGGACGGGCGGCGCACGGGCGGCGACGGGCCGGGGCAGGTGGCGCACGGGCGGCGACGGGCCAGGGCTGGCGGCGCACGGACGTCGACGAGCCGGGGCAGCGGCGCACGGGCGTCGACGGGCCGGGGCAGCGGCGCACGGGCGTCGACGGGCCGGGGCAGCGGCGCGGGGCCGGCGCGCGGGTCCCCGTCGCCCGTCGCAGCGCCTCCCGAGGGCGACGTGCCGAGCGACGAGGCAGAAGCCCGCCGCGCGCCTCGGGGCGCACAGCGGGCAGAGAACCGCCGCGCGCCTCGGGGCGCACGGCGGGCAGAAAACCGCCGCGCGCCTCGGGGCGCACGGCGGGAAGAAAGACTGCCGCACGCCACGGGGCGTGCGGCAGAGAGAGTAGCAGTTGCAGCGGAAGCAACGAGGTGGTGGTAACCCACCCACAGGATCGATCCAAGGGGATCGACCTGCTCTGATACCATGACAAAATTAGAAGAAAGAAAGGGGGGTTGAACTAGCAGGAATGAGGATACAAATAGCAAACCCTAGAAGGGTTGTACTCGCTATAGAGCACCCCACTACAGGCTAGAACATAAGATAACATTCTGACAGGAGGTTACCATTCGATGAGAGTCGAACCGTCAGCTGCGCCAAAACAACTTTTCGCACTAGATACGGATCCTTCGAATACACATTCATGCCCTTTGGACTGGCGACTTTTTAGATAACCATGAATGAGGCGTTTAGACAAATGCGTCATAGTTTACCTCGACAACATCCTGGTTGACAGCCGCGACAAGCATCAGCACTTAACAGATTTAGAAGCAGTCTTCAAGATTTTAGACGAAAACCGGCTACTGACCAAGGGTTCAAAGTGTGAGTTTTTTCTAGGACCGGCTAGAGTTTTTAGGGCACATTATTTCATAGGCTGGAGTTGAAATTGATCTGAAGAAGTTAGTTAGGGTACAAGCGTGGCATCCCCCGACAAATCTCACGGAGCTGCAGAGTTTTTTAGGTTTGTTAATTACGTCCGTTGGTTCGTCCCCGACATGGCACGCTTAACGGCCCCAATGACAGATTTACTACAGAAGGGAGTGGCGTCTACGTGGGGGGAGAAAGAGCATGCTGCCTTTTCTGCCCTTAAAAATGTTCTCTACACACCCCCCGTCCTACGCATTGCCGACCCCCACCGCCCATTTGAAGTAGTTACTGACAAAAGCGACATCGCCATTGGAGCCGTACTGTTACATGATTTCAGCAACGGCCTACAGCCCATCGCATACGAATCACGAAAGCTGCATTCGCCCGAGAAAAAGTACCTGGTACACAACCGGGAAATGCTCGCGATCATGCACGCATTCAAGGTTTGGGATGTTACGTGACCGGAGCAAACGTGACACTACGGGCAGACCACAAATCACTGCAGTGCCTTCGTGTGAGAATCTGAGGAAGGAATGATTGCATTGAGCAGCATGAGGAGTACAAGTAGGAAACCCTAAAGTATTTTGCCCCATATTGACTACCCCACTACAGCCTAAACAGACTATAGCCTATATAAATCGACACACCCCCATAGGCAAAGTGGGGGAGAACAAGGGGTCACAAGACCAGTCAAGAGAAGCAAGGCAAGCCCAGGGTGGATCACAACATCACCACACAAACTGAGCAGAAGCACAAGGCCACAAGGCCAGTTCACAAATAGAGTTATACATCAAGAAGCACAAGCAAGGCAGTGATCACAACCTAGCAAGAGTATGCATGTAAGTGCAGGTATATATATATCACAGTACAAGCAAAGTCAATAGGTGAGCAAGTGAGGCCAAGTAGGCACAAGACCTAGCAAAGTACACAAGCGCTGATGATCACAAGGCGGAAGTGCCTTGGTAAAGATATCAGCAGTGTTGGCCTCAGAGGCCACATAAGCAAGGCGCAGCTGACCCCGTTGCTGCAGCTCACGAGCAAGGAAGTAGCAAAGAGCAATGTGCTTCGTTCTGTGCTCCAGTCTGTGCTCCCGACACAAGGCCAGCATGGCCTTGTTGTCTACGTACAGAATTGGAGGAGAACGAGGCTGCTCTCCAAGGTCAGTCAGCAGGTAGGTGAGCCAGCGTAGCTCCTGTGCAGCGTAGATCTCGGCCTCATAGGTGGAGCCGAGAACAGAAGACGAGCGGGTAGACCGCCACGAGACAGAGCCGGAACCAAGGCTGAAGGTGTAACCCTGTGACGACCGCTGCGTAGCCTGGTCGTCAGCCCAAGAAGCGTCTACGTGACCAGTGAGGACCACTGGACGTCGCCCTCCAAACACTAGCTCCATGCCCGAAGTACATCACAAGTAGCGCAACACCCTCTTAGCTGCAGCCATGTGCTCTGGTCGGTGTCTCCCAGGAGCCACATAGCGTGCCAAGATGCTAAGAGGGTATGCTAGGTCAGGTCGTGTGCAGGTCATCAGGTACATGAGGCAGCCAACAAGCTCTGGGTACGGGCCACTCGGCTTTACGGACTCATCCGAAGGCAGAGCCGAGAGCGAGTGGCGAGTAGAAAGAGGAGTGGCCTGAGGCGAGGAGTACGTGAAGCCGAAGCGCTGAAGGACCTGCTGCACCATGTGTGACTGAGTCAGGGTAATGGTGCGCTGTGCTCTGTCCTGGGTGATCTGTAAGCCAAGGTAGCTGCGCAGTTCACCCAGGTCTGTGCACGTGTGTCTCTTCTACAGCTCGGACATCACGTAGGCGAGTCCAGCAGTGTCAGTAGTGGCGAAGACCAAGTCGTCGACGTACACAAGGATGTAGAACGGCGGCAAAGAGGTGTCGGTGCGCAGAAACAGTGACGGGTCTGCAGTAGAAGGAGCAAACCCAAGAGCAGCAAGTGTAGTCCTCAGTGTGTTGTGCCACTCACAGGGCGCCTGGTGGAGACCATAGACTGGCCGCCGGAGGCTCCATTGGGTACCAGGAGGGAACGACCCAGTGAAGCCAGGTGGGCGGCGCAACCAGATCTCCTCGTGCAGGCTCTCCTGCAGGAAAGCTGTGCTGAAGTCAAGGGAGTGAAGCTCATAGTCGCGCTGAGCGGCTATGTGCAGCAGCACCCGAAGAGTGGTCATCTTCGGGGTGGGAGAGAAGGTCTGAAAGTAGTCAACTCCCTGCCGCTGACTGAAGCCTCGAGCCATGTAACGCGCCTTGAAGACAGGCGGAGAACCCGGCGGCCGATTCACCCTGAAAATCCACATGCCACTGACGATGTTTGCCCAAGGTGGGGGAGCCTCGTCAACGTAGGTGCCTGTGGACTTCCAGGAAGCCATCTCTGTGTCCATGGCTGACTGCCACTGTGAGGAGTAGGGACCCTCGATCGCCTCAGCGTACGATCGAGGAGTCGGGATGTCTGGTGCATCCGGGTCTCCCTCAGGGGCAATCAGCGTGGACACGAGATGAGGCAAAGCAGCAGCAAAACAATGGAACTCCTCCTGCTTGTCCTCAAGGACGTCCGTGATAAGAGCACACTCACCCCCGACGGACGGAGGACAGACATACTCAGACTCAGCTACAAGACTAACAGCGTAGTCTAGACGACAACGAGCAGCAAAGTCGACAAGCTCAGCAACTAAGGCAGACGCAGCAGTGGACTCAAAAGAAGGGTCAGTGACAACAGTAGCCAGGAGACGCGTGACAGTAGGACTGGCAGCACGAAGAGAGTCAGACCCAGGGTCAGCAAGAGTAGGAAGAGAGGACTCTGGAGGAGACGGCAACGGGACACGCAGAGGAGCAGTGGAAGGACGCAGTGCCATCTAGTGTGTGCCGGGGACCGCAGGAGGACGCTGACGAGGAGCACGACCACTAGTGCGAGCAGCACGAACAGGCAACGCAGGACGAGACGCAGGCTAACGACGCTCAAAAAGACCTCCAGTAGGACCAGTATAGGGAGAAGGAGCAGGCACGGGGGAGGTAGGCTGTAACTGTGACCGCGTCTGGACAGGCTGTGGACACGCCAAGGGAGGAGCAGGACTAGTAGAGGGCGGTAGACCAAGAACCTGCTCAAGAAGCGGAACGGAGTACGGCCTCGGCCGTGCAGCGCCTCCAAAACCAGCACGGACAGCACCAGTACCCTTAGTGGCAGCACCAGCACCAGCAGCACCTCCAGCGCCAACAGCGCCAACGCCTCAACGAAACACCGCCAGAGGCCACACGAGTAGACTCAGCTCCCCAAGGCTCCGCACCCCTAGGCTCCGCACCCCCAGACTCAGCACCCCCAGGCTCAGCACCCCAAGACCCAGCTCCCCCAGGCTCCGCACCCCCAGGCTCAGCACCCCCAGGCTCCGCACCCCCAGACTCAGCACCCCCACGCTCCGCACCCCTAGACCCGGCACCCGCAGGCGTAGCGCCCCTAGCAGCACCAGAGTCAACAGCTGCCTCGGCAGGCTCAACTGCGTCTACCTGGGACACATCTGACGGGGCAGGACCCTGAGGGAGGAGGGGGTCTACCGGAGGAGGACCTGGTGCAAGGAAGAGCGGCGGCGGGGGGGGGCGCAGTGCGGTAGGGGAAGAGACGGTAGTAAGGCACCGACTCGTGAAAGGTGACGTCTTGAGAGGACAGAACACGGCGCGAGGTGGGGTGGTAGAACCGCCAACCAGGCGCGTCAGGGGGGAAGCCAAGGAAGACGTAGGGAACCGCACGAGGCGACAGCTTGTCCGAAGACAAGTCGCGGACAAACGCACGAGATCCCCAGACCCGAAACGCAGACGCATCGCCAACCTTCCCCGTCCATCGCAAGGTGGGGGAGGTCTCTGGCAAGGAGACCCGGGGCTGAAGGTTGAGCTGATGCACCGCGTACTGATCCGCAAACGGCCACAGAAAATGGGGAGTAGCCGCATGGATCATGGACGTACGAGCGACGTCCATGACCATGCCAATGCGGCGCTCAGCAATCCCATTTTGCTGTGGAGAGCTCGGAAGCGTGAAGTTCTGGCGGATGCCCTGTGCATGACAGAAGGCTCCCAGACGGGCAGAGGAAAACTCCCCGCCTCTGTCAGAGTGCAGACGCAGAACAGGAAAGTCTGAGCCGAAACTCTCTCTGAGCTGGAGACGAGTTGCGCGGATCCAGTCGATCAGCACCTCAGTGACGTCACCCTTGCTGCGCAAGGGGAACACTGTGGTGTAACGCGAGTAGTCGTCAACCACCAACAGGAAGTAACGCTCGTGATCCTGGCCACGGACGCGGGCGCGGCCCCACACGTCTATGTAAAGAGTCTGCAGAGGAGCCTCTGTCGGAGGAAACTCGGAGGAGTGAGGAGCGGCGCACTGCCGCCCCTCGACGCTGGGGACGCAGGTAGGGGCAGGCCCCGGAGGTAGGGGAGGGAGGGATCGGGGGAGACCAGAGACAAGGACACGGGAGGCCATGCCGCGGAGACGAGGCAGGGAAGGGTGACCAAGGCGGTGGTGCAAGAGGAGAGTCTGGTGGGACAGGAGACGACACGAGCAGGGCGCAGACTGAGGACCAGACCTGGACGCTGCAGCAAACACCTGACTCGACGCAGCTACCTGACCAGACTCAGGAACAGGGGGAGACTCAGTGGTCAGTGTGTACAGGCTCGACCCCGGCTGACGGGTAAACATGGCCAAGTGTCGGCCTGTCCGAGCACACGTATAGTGGGTCACCCGCTGACTCGCAGGTGTGAACTGGTCAACCCCCCGATCCTGTAGATCAGCTCCACTCACTAAGTTCGTAGAGAATGAGGGGAGGTAGAGACCTGACAAAGTGCCAGAGGGGGCTGCCGGACACGGTAAGACAGTGGAGAAGCTAGCAAGGACAGGACCCCCAAAGGGGTCCGCCAGGGAGACCGCAACCGGCCGACTAAGCGGCGTAAGAGTGGTGCGGTCTCGAAAGAAGGAGCGGGAAGCACCCGAGTCAAGGGTGAAGGTGTGCAAGGCCTGAGCCGACGTAGTACCTGAGAGAGCAGACTCACCAGCAACTGGGGCAGCAGACGCACTAGCACCTGGAGAAGCAGCCTCACCAGCACTTAGAGCAGCAGCCTCAATGCCCGGGTCAGGCGGAACACACAGGTAACAGTCACCCTCATCACTAACAGTCACAGCATACATGGCAGCAAGAATAGCATCATAGTCAAGATCAAAGATGGCAACCCCCGCCCTAGACAGCTCTCCCGAGCGAGGGATCTATGAGGAGCCAGGGAACTGATGACGCCAAGCATCCGTCAGGCGTCCGAAGCAGCGCTGGGAGGAGTGCGCGCCTTCGCACTGCTCACCAACGCGGTCGCCTGTACGAAGGACGTAGGTGCAAGGACCAGTACCCCCACCCCGCTGACGCGCAGCGTACCACTCACGAAGCTGCTGAGGGGACAGGGTCTCACTACTGCGCTGCTGCTGCTGGCGCAGACCACCACCGGAGCCACTCCTCTGCGCAGAGCCGCGACCTGCTCCACCGCCACCTCCGCCGCCTCCGCCACCTCCGCCGCCTCCGCCATCGCCGCCGCCTCCGCTCCCTCCGCCACCACAGCCGCCTCCTCCGCCTCCACTGCTGCCACCACCACCTCCACCCCCACCACCACTCCCACCACCACCCCCACCCCCTCCACTGCCTCCACCACCACCTCCACTGCCCCCACTGGCCCCCTCAGCTCCCTTGCCCCCCTTGCCCTTGCCGGTGCGGCGCTTCCCGCTAGGGACAGACGTAGCGCCGACCGACTCGAAACCAACGAGGTCGGTCGCAGCAGTAGAAGCAACAGAGGGCAAGAGGGGGGAGGGAGAACACTTCTCAAAGACGGGGGTGCGAGGGTTACTACGAGAGGCTCCTACAGCGACTATGCTCTTCTCCGCTGCTAGGAGGCGCTCCTCGAGGAGGTCAACGGTGAGTGCGGTGGGGCAAACTGAGAGGAAGTGATCCCTGACTAAGCGAAGGGAGTCAGGGAGCCGGGTGACTATGTAATAGAGGGTGATGTACAAGGGGGGGGGGGGGGGGGGTTCTTGGCACAGAACTCAGCGGGAAGCGCAGTGCGGTAGCGAGTGTCACTAGTGCGGAGGTGCGTAATGAGGTCAGCGACTGTGGGAAAGGCAGCAAGGTCAGGGAACAGGTACGGCAGCATGAGGCGGCTAAGTGTAGTGGTGGCAGGGGAAGAGTAGCGTGCAATTACAGCGTTGTACAAGGTCTTAGCACTCTTGTACTGGCTAAAGTGCGCACGCTCAGTGGTCGGTAAGTGGCGACGCACAGCAAGGCGTGCAGCAGCATCGCGTGTGGCCCACTGTGAGCGAACAGTGCTGTCATTAGTAGCAGGCGGGGCAGGGGAGACACCTGAGGTAAGATCGAACAGTGAGAGTCCGTCTGCCCTATCGCACTATAAGAACAGCTGGAGGTCGTCGACCCAAACCTCAAAGTCAACAGCACGACCCTCAGTGTCAAAGGTAAGGACACTGGGGGTAGCCATGACTGAAGCGGCCTATGAGGGAGTGAGCTTACCAGTCCAAGGAAGTAGGGCCGGGGCGCGACGGAAGAAAGGCGGCTCGACGGCTCGGCTGCTGGGCGGCTCGGCGGCTCGGCTGCTCGGCGGCTGGGCGGCTCGGCGGCTCGGCTGCTGGGCGGCTCGGTGGCTCGGCTGCTGGGCGGCTCGGCGGTTTGGCTGCTGGGCGGCTCGGCGGCTCCGCTGCTGGGCGGCGCGGCGGCTCGGCTGTCAGGCTGCTGGCGGCTTGGAAGGGGCCGGTAGAGACGGCGACGGGGCCGTGAAGGAGGGTAGGGTGGCGACAGGGCCGCTATGGGCGGCGACCGGGCCGCTGAGGTCGGCGACGGGGCCGGTAGGGTGGCGACGGGGCCGATCGGGCGGCTGCGGGGCCGCTTAGGGCGGCGACGGGGCGGCGAAGGTGGCGACGGGGCCGGTAGGGTGGCAACGAGGCCACTGAGGGCGGCGACAGGGCCACGGGTGTCGGCGGCGGGGCCGGTAGGGTCGGCGACGGGCCGATAAGGTCGGCGACGGGGCCGGCAGGGTCGGCGACGGAGCCGCTGAGGGCGGCGACGGGGCCGATCGGGCGGCTACAGGGCCGCTTAGGGCGGCGACGGGGCCGCAAAGGCGGCGACGGGGCCGAAAGGGTCGGCGACGGGGCCGACACGGGTCGGCGACGGGGCCTACAGGGCGGCGACAGGGCCGTTGAGGGCGGCGACGGGGCCGCGAGGGTCAGCGACGGGGCCGACAGGGCGGCGACGGGGCTGCAAGGGTGGCGACGGGGCCGCTAGGGTCGGCAACGGGGCCGACAGGGCGGCGACGGGGCCGCTAAGGTCGGCTACGGGGCCGGCAGGGCGGCTACGGGGCCGTGAGAGAGGGCCGCTAGGGGCCTGAGGAGGGCGCGACGGGCCTCTAAGGGCTAGGACGCGACGGTAGGTAGGGCACACGGGGCGCGACTCGGGCAGAGGCAAAGCGCGCTCCGGGCAGAGGCAAAGCGCGCTCCGGGCAGGGAAAAAAAAAAATAGTAGTGGGCCCTTGGGAAGCGTTCCCACTAGGGAACCTGCTCTATACCATGTGAGAAGCTGAGGAAGGAATAATTGCATTCAGCAACATGAGGAATACAAATAGGAAACCCTAAAGTGTTGTACCCCATATTGACTACCCGACTACAGCCTAAACAGACTTAAGCATATATAGTTCGACACTTCGTGCACAGCCCCACCTCAACCACGTCAGGTTCGTTGGCTCGATTTTCTCAAGTCCAAATTTTATTACATAGTCAAATACAAAAAGGTGTCAGAATCCCAACCACTAGACCATTGGGACAAAAGGGCTTGTTTCAGTAGCGGGTCAGTGTGCCCATAACCCCCCAGGCAAACGCGCCTGTAACCCCCCCTAGGATCGATCCGGGATCTCACAGTGTAGCTCTACTGACACTCCCCCACACTGGGAGGCCCAGGACTGAGTACAGTGGCAACGGCCAACATGTGCATATACCGGGATTCGAACCCGAGACCGCTTTGATACCATGTCAGAATCCCAACCACTAGACCATTGGGATAAAAGGGCTTGTTTCAGTAGCGGGTCAGTGCGCCCATAACCCCCCAGGCAAACGCGCCTGTAACCCCCCCTAGAATCGATCGTGGATCTCACAGTGTAGCTCTACTGACAAAAGGGAGAATCAAACATCGCCGATGCACTAACCCAGATACGCGCCCAGACCAGCCCACTAGTGACACGACTACTTACCCACGGCTACCAAACAGACCTGTTCTTTATAGGCGGAAAGCAGCAGTTCGCAGCAACAAAGGGGGTTTATTACGTAAAAGCCGATACAGATCGCATCTGAACACCGGGCTACACTTTACTAAGGGAGCTGTTACTGCAGGATGCATACGACGGCGTTACCTCAGGACACTTCGGGGTAGAAAAGACACGGCAGCAGCTAAAGCGATACTATCACTGGCCCGAATTGTTGACCGACGTGAAGTGATACGTGGCATCGTGTCCCACCTGCCAACTCATGAAATCATCATGGAAGCGGCCGGCAGGATAGTTGCAGCCGATACCACCCCCAGAGCGCGCTTGGCATCAATTGACAATGGACTTCGTCATGGGGTTACTGGCCGGGGCAAGTGGAAATGGTCGCCGTCGATCGGTTGACGAAGATGGCACACTTCGTAGCCTGCACGAATTCAATCTCAGCCAAAGAAACAGCTCGGCTCTTCATCGCCACCGTCGTTTGTGTCAACGGGAGTAGTGTTTGGCTCCGTCTTTGCTTGGGCGGAGCCGACCTTATGGTCAGGTGTAAGGGGGGATGCAGCCGACCTGCAGCAGTTGGCATGGGGGCCATTGCAATGGCGTTGAGCTGGGGGGCGCCTAGCTGGAGGGCGCAGAGTAGGTGGGCGCTGTCCTTGGTGTCTGGGCGGCGTCCTGGGCCTCTACACGGCGTCCTCGGCGCCTGGACGCCGACCTGGGCGTCTTCTCGGCATCTTGGGCGCCTCCACGCCGACATGGGCGTCTGCTCGGCATCCCGGTTGCCTGGTCGCCGACCTGGGCGCCTGAACGACGTCTAGGGCAAGTGGACGCGACTTGGACACCAGGATGTCGACCTTGGGACGCCGAGTTTGGTGTAGCCAGCGACCGACTGGGCTGGACTACCAGGCGGGGTTGCCTGGTCGACCGGGATACCCTGGCGACGTGTGTGAAGATCACCGGGGGTGGTTTCTACGAGGCCGACCTCGGGGGTGGTATCCCGAGGTCGACGTGGCTGCTGGGCGCAGTCGCTGGTGTGGACTTTGCCAGACGTCTGTGCTGTGCACGTGACTAGGGATGGTGCACCAACCAGTTGCGCACACCTGCGAAGCAGGTGCACCGTTGTCCCGCAGGTGCAAAGCTGTGCAGCCAACTTGCTGCATCGTTGGCACACCGTGGACTTCCAACATTGGCGAGCCGCTACTCTGCAGTGCTGGAGCGCTGCGAGCTCTGCTGTGCTAGATCGCAGTCGATCGTGCTGCGCTGGAGGTCGACCAGTAGCCTAGCTAGCTCTGATGTAGTCTGTGCTGTCAATGTTGTTGCTATCATTCTGAGCACTTGTTGTCATTTTTTTCTAGTGAAACTCTTGCCAATTTCTCCCGTGAACTAAGAAGCAGTATGAGCACTTGGAAACAACTAAGTGAACGAACGCAGAGATCCCTCTCGTTCGCGTGCCTTCCCCGTGGTCAAGCTCCCGTTGTACGAGCATCTCGGCATGGTGCGGTGAGCGTGGACGACACCGCAAAGTCACCTTCGGTGTAGCCGGCTTTGCACATACCTAGCTTGTTCGTAGGCCGTGTTGGACGCCATGGTGGGCCCCGTTGTTGAAGCTGGCATCGTGGAGACCTTGGGGGCACGGCTGGAGGATGTGAGGAAACGCCATGCAGCGAACAAGTACGGGACTCTCCCACTGGCGGCCGTCAAGGCTCGCATCCGTGCCACGTGGGCGACGGAGCACCCTTCTCGACCGGCGTCTCCTCGACCGGTGAACAACGCAGGTGGCGTCGACGTGGGCGTCAACGCCGGTGACCAGGTCGGCAGCAGTGGGGGAGGCACGCGTCGAGGCCGAGAGGAGTGATACATGCCGGTGAAGCCGGCGGCGTTCAGGCGCAAGGAATGTAGTTGTCGGCGCCTGGAGGGGCTTCGCAGGATGACGTCGGAGGTCGACGAAACGGATTGGCGCTGATGTTGGCGACTCACGTGACGTCGGGAGGGATTGTGTCAAGCTACGGCTACTTCAAGTTTACGCCGGATAGGATCTTGGTCACCCCCCTGCTGGCCGGTAGTCCCGACATCCTCACCTGGAAGTAAGCCATCGAGCCCCAGTTGGAGATGGTCGGGCAAATGGGCTTTGCCGCCGGCACCGTGGTGACGCGGTCGGAAAACTATCCCGACTTGCGTGCGGAGTGTCTCATTGTGCAGCTGCTGACCTTCACGGTCATCTCGCGGTGCTATTCGCTAGGCGTGCAAATCGCCTTCAAGCCGTGCAAGAACTACCTGGACGTCGGCCGCCAGACGTGGCGCTTCATCGAGTCGACGTACCAGGTCACCGACGACCTGTACATCGGCCAGCTCGAGGAGCAGATTACGCACATGTGGATGGGCGAGCGGGAGATGGCGACCGATTACTGCAATTGGGCTCGGCGACTTCTCGCTACCATGAGGATGGTTGGCGTGCAGTACTCTACAGCGTCGTATGTCACGCACGTCCTAAAGGGGCTCACTAGCAGCTACAACTTGCTGAAGCGGTTGTCAGTGGCGCCAAGCACGCGGGCGACGCTCAACGAGGACTCCCTAACCTCGTACATCCTACAGGACGAGGCTATGCAGGAGGCCGAGCGATCCACGGAGCTCCTGCTGCAGGCGAACTACGTCGCCCTAGCAAAGCAAGGTAGCCGAGCGGGGCAGCGCGGCAAAGGGAAGTTGGCGAAGGACAGCGGTCATGGAGGAGGAGGTCGACGCCGGGAATGCTAGCTGTGCGGCGACCCTGACCATCTCTTCTTCGAGTGCCCCAACCATAGTGACTCTGACGACAACACCAAGGGAGGCCGCGGGAGGTCGGCCAGCCGTCGTCCACGTCGAGGAAATCAGCCGCGAAGGAGAAGCAGTCGAACAAGTCGACCTCGGTGAAGGAAGCTGACTCCTCTGCTGGCGGCAAGGGGTGAGACGGCGGGGAGGCGTCATGCTGGCTGGTCGGTGTCGTGGAGCCGACCATCTCGCTAGCGCCGGAGGCCGGCGAGAGTTTCCAGGCGGTGGCAGCCGCCGTGCAGGCGAACCCGGCGGTGGTTCTACTCGATAGTGGCTGCTCGCACTACCTGATGGGGTCAAAGGACGTCTTCGTCGACTTGGGGCCGAGCGGCAACGTGAAGCACGTGCGCAGCTTCAATGGGGCGCTGCAGGATGTTCACGGCCGTGGCACGGTTGCTCTACAAGGGGAGGCCGGGAAGCGGGTGCTT